TGATACTGGGTTTTGTCATGTGTGCGTGCCTCGTGACCTTTCCTCACACAGTAAAAGCACCGCATTTAAAACCAACAGTAACCTGGGGAGGAGGGGACAATTTTCACAATGGCACTGATGGGGCGCGTGAATTGACTACAGAGTTTATTGTCAGTTCACATGTCCTCTAGTAAGAATGAGTTTCTTTAATGGTTGAGAAGTTCCATCACGGATGTCCATGACATGACATGAGTGGGAAAGAGCAGGCGAGAGACCCAGCCAGCTTCGACCTCCATTCCTGCCGCTAACCAGCAGTTCAACTTACAGTACGTGATCCGCCTCTCTAGCCCCAAATGCATCCATCCATAATTCAGAATCCTCCCCACTTTAGACTTTATCCTGCGACTCAGAGGTTTGGGTTTTTGTTTTGGCTTTTTTTTTTTTTTTTTTTTTTTTTTTTTGTTTAAATTTCATGTATTTGAGTGTTTTGCCTGCAAGGATGCATGGGTACCACAAGCATGCCTGCCTGCAAAGATCAGGAGAGGGCATCAGAATCCCTGGAACTGGAGTTACACACAGTGTGAGCCCCCACGTGGGGCCTGGGAGCCCAAGTGGGATGCTGGGTAAGAGCAGCAAGTGTTCTCAGCCGTGGGCCATCCCTCCAGACCCGACTCAAAGGTTTTATGAGTGTGGGTGGGGAAGAGAACATCCAGTCTATTGAGTTTGGTTGAACAAAGCATGAGAATACACCCTATTTTCATCTATTTATGTCAGCGAGAGTTCATTGCTGTGTTTACATGAATTAACTCTTTTCTTCCTCAGTCTTAAGTTTCTAATCCAGCGAACATCAACAAAACTCTTGAGGCCCTGAAAAACTCTGAAGAACGCAAGCGGTTCCTGAGGCCAGAAGGTTTGAGGGTTGCTAGTACAACCGTCAAAAGGCCAGGTTCCAGAGCCAACTGCCAAGTCAGGTCTCCCTTCCGCCACTGTGTGACACTGGGCACCGTCCCTCAGTCATTCTGTGGTACTTGGCTCTAAGACTGTCGAAGAAGTAAATGATTGATACATGCCCTGTACTCAGAACTATAGATACTACCCATCATTCCCTTCAGTGTCAGGCTCAGCCACCACCATTGCCTCCTTTTCCACCTCCCCCCATCGCCCGCCTTGGGTTTTTGTTCAGTTTGCCTGACTTGGCCGAATCCAAGCTCTCTGCTGCTTCTGCCTCGGAGGGGGCCAAAGACAGCCGCTGTAAACACAGCCACCACTTTCCTACCACTGCCCTCCAGCAGCCGACTATACTGTGAACGTGCCCTTCACAGCAGCTCCATCAGCAAAGGACAACTAGAAAATCAAAGTGAGCCAGGCAAAGTTTTTCAAAACATGCTCTGTCAGATGAATTTCTGAATGTAGAGTAGAAAAGCTAGCCTTAGGAATAATCAATGGAACGGGAGGAAGTGGAGAGAAAACGCAAGCTTTTTCCATTCCTTAAAGGAAAAGGCGCTATTTACCCAAAGTGCCTTCCAGTAGGAACTGGTTTTGTGTTTTGTTTTGGTTTTTGCCTACATCTATCTCCTTTATGAAATCTTTGACCTACCCAAGGGCCCTCTTTCCAATGGTAAACAACTCAAGCCATCAGAAGCTTTTTTGATGGACCAGATTCCTATGGCACGCATTTGACTAAGAGCCATTTGATCATGGAAGAGGGGCAGGTCTGAGATTTTTAGGATGATTTATAATAATCAAATTCTATGATTACTCACAACCTCTTGAATTTATGACTTTTTAAATCAACATTTTAATTATTTCTTTAATTCTTCCTCCTATTTTACAGTTTGGAAAGCTAGAGCTCAAAGAAACTAGCAAACCTACCCAAAGCCACAGAACCAGAATGACAGAAATGAAGCTGAAATACTCCTGAACTTGGAGCATTTAAAGAGACAGGAGCCTGGGTACACACAGCAGGAAGCAGAGTGCCCTGGTTGGGGTGTGGGGTGGAGTTACAACTAAACTAATTTTATCAGGGGGTTACCACATAAGCAAATGGGCCCTAGTGTGGAAATAACCTCCAGATTCCCCAGAGTCTCCCATGGGTTCCGCGTTGCACCACCACAGCTCAACCCATGCAGCTCGAATTACAATTTTTAAACCTTTTGTAAAGTGTATGTGTCTGTGAGTGTGTGTGGGTGTTGTGTGTCTGTGAGTGTGTGTGTATGAGAGTGTGAGTGAGTGTGTGTGTGGGGGGGGAATGTGTACCTAGCCAGGTGGAGGTCCTCACACAACTTTCAGAAGTGGTTCTCTCCTCCACCATGTGAGTTCCAGGGATCCAACCCAAGTCCTCAGACTGGTGAGCAAACACCATCTTACTGGCCTTACTTTTCAATCTACTAATTTCTTCGTACAATGGGTATCTTGGAAGTAAGAGGGATTATTTTTTTTTTTAATTTAGATTTATTTATTTATTTATTTATTTTTTAGTTTTCTCAAGACGGGGTCTCACCTATGTAGCTCTGGCTGTCCTGGAACTCACTAGTTAGACCAGTTTGGCCTAGATCTCACAGAGATTCGCCTGCCTCTGTCTCCCAAAGTGCTGGGATTACAGGCATGTGACAGTACACTCAGCTGAGATGTATTTATTTTTATTTTATGTGTATTGGTGTTTTGCCTACACGTACATCTTGGTGAGGGCATCAGCTCTCCTGGAACTGGAGTTACAGATGAATGTGAGCTATTGTGTGGGTGCTGGGAATTGAACCTAGGTCCTCTGGAAGGACAGCCAGTGCTCTTAACTGCTGAGCCATTTCTCCAGCCCTGAAGTTTTAAAAAGGTACCCAGTATGTTTTATATTTAGGCTGTTTCTGAGTAGGGTGTTTTGTAAGTTGAGAGCCGTCTGCATTCATGTATGATGTCATTAAATATATATTTGGTCTGTCTAAAACTCTCTGGCATTTGTCCTTTACCAACACTGCCGGGTATTTTAGTTTCTCAATATGTAAGTTTAAAAGGCACAGCCAAATCTAATGAATGTCAAACTTGTACAGTGACTCAAGTCCACTATAGTACTTTTAAACAGGAAAAAAAGAGAGAGAGAGAAAACTGATTCACAAAGGATTAATTAGGATGAATAATCACTTGAAAAGAATACAAAGAAAAAAAAAAAAAAAAAAAGAATACAAAGAAGAATTCTCTGAAACCATTAGTCCCCCTGAATATGTTTCATTGCGCATTAACTAAAACACCACTGTGAGGGACAACTGTGGTCCTCTATGAGATAACAGACATTGAAACTACAAACGTAGTATTCTAAAAGGTGCTAAAGCTGAGCATTCAAACATGGGTTAGGAATGGTGATCTAGTTAAGGTAATAAACCCAGTTTGGTGGCCCACATCTGTGTCCTAGCACTCAGGAGGTAAAATCAGGTTAATCAGGAATTCAAGGTCTTCCTCCACTGCCGAGTAAGTTCAAGGCCAGCCTGGACAATGAGACCCTCATTCAAAAAAATAAATAAGAACCGGTGAGAAGGCTCAGCAGGTAAAGGTAGCTGCCACCAAGTTTCATGACCGGAGTTTAATCCCCACAACCAATGTGCTGGAAGGATGTAACTCCCACAAACTGATTTAACTAAAAGCCCAAATATTCCAAGTCTGTGGGAATACTTCATTTTCTCCATATTCTCCCCCACAAGCCACACACACACACACACACACACACACACACACACACACACACACAAAACTATCATTTAAAATTAAAATAAATAAGCTAATGAAATTATAGTTTTTTGCTGGTTTTGTAACTTATTAGCTCTGCCCAATAGAAAATGGGCAAGAAAAATACTTAAATGTGCTGAGCTCTTAAATGTGGCTAGTGCTAATGAAGAATTTAATTTTTTGTTTTAGTTTTAACTCATCCATAATCAAGTCTCTTTGAGCAATAGAAAAAAAAATCTGGCTTTACTGGTCTAAAGACCAATTTGTGAGTATAAGTTATAGATAGCTGTTGCCCATAGGCTGTAGCTAATCTTAAGCCAGTGATTAGGAGCTGAAATGAAGTTAAGTAATTGGGCATAAAATTTTTTTCAGAAAAAGCAATTTTTTTTTCAGAGATTGCTTTTCCTATTTAACAAACATCAAAAACTATCATGGGGGGCGTGGACTGAAGAGAGTGATTAGCCATTAAGAGCACTTACTACACTTACAGAAGACCTGGGTTCAGTTCTCAGCACCCACATGGTGGCTCACAACTGCCGGTAACTCCAGTTTCAGGGGATCGGATCCCTCTTCCGACTTCTGCTGTCACTGCGCACACATTCACACACACACACACACACACACACACACACACACACTCAAGCACACACACATAAAGATCTTTAAAAACCACCACGTAAAAGAAGAGCTGTCATCTGCAAAACACAACATAGGAAGTCAGACGTACACGGACTGGATATAGTTATCCCCAACATCAGCTACTTACTGAGGTAAGGATGGATGGCTAAAAGAGTGGACAGATGGACAGTTGGACAGACGAAACAACCAGAAAACAAGGATGTGTGAAGAAGGGGGAAGTTGGGGTGGTGAGAGTCATAATGAACCAAAACTAAGCAAGGACTTCATTCATGAGGACATTCCCCTCGTGGTTTCGGTTAGAAGTGAATTCTACACTATACCCTAACAAGACCAAGCTGATGAACTGTGTTAACTCATCCTTTCAACAAGTATTGTGGACCCGGTAACTCCTGTCACTTCAGGACAGACAACTGTGGTAAGCTCCAGGACGTCATGTGGAGCATGTGTGCCTGCCCTTCGGGGTACTTAATCAGCCCCATGGACAGGAAACAAAAATTCTGAGGTTAAAACTTCTAAAGGTACCAGCACACAAAAGAGACTTCAAACCCAGCCTAGGCTAGTCAGGAAAAGAAACTTCTAGAAAGAAAAGAAAAGGCTATCTGCCTATTGAATCTATCTCATATGTATGTTCTCATGGAAATTTCCCTTTTGTTTGGCATTACATCACTGACCTTTTCAAGGGTGCTCATTTCTTGAGTACACATCAATCAATATAAATTTATTGAATGCCGAAAATCCAAGTGCCTCATTTTCCTGGGTTATTCTCCATGTGCTAGAAGCTGAAGTTACAGGAAGACAAACGCGTCCCTGGAGAAAAATAAGTTCCCAGGTCAGAGACTTCAATAATTTTCCACATAAGAAAAACATAATACTGCTTTGTAACACATCATTTCTTCACGAGTTCTTTTTTAAATTGTGATTTTTCTATCCAAATTAAATCTAGACATTTCTCCAAAATAAACTTCAGAAAGGCTAATAAAAAGAGAAAAAAACACACGAAAATGTAACTTTAAATATTTCAATACGATTAAATCCATTAATAGGAAATTCTTTGCACTGTTTTATTTTATTTTTGTATTAGTGTTTTGCCTGTTTGTATGTCTTTGCTCCACATACAGGCCTGGTGCACGAGCAGGACAAAAGAAGGCATTGGATTCCCTGGAACTATAATTGCAGATGGTGTGGGCTGCCACATGGGTGCTGGAAATCAAACCTGAGTCCTCAGCAGGAACAGCCAGTGTGCTCTTAACAGTTACCCTATGCAGCCCTCCAGGAAATTCTTCTAGGCTAGCAACATCGCATAGATTTAATTGACAGTCTGGAGTCAAAATCAGGTTGCTCTATTTACAAGCTGTATGACCTTAGCAAGTTAGCTAACTTCTCCATATTTCTGTGTGTGTATGTGTGTGTGTGTGTGTGTGTGTGTGTGTGATTTTTCGAGACAGGGTTTCTCTGTGTAGCCCAGGCTGCCCTGGAACTCACGCTGTAGACCAGGCTGAAATCCACCTGCCTCTGCCTCCCGTGTTGGGATTGAAGGTGTGCACCCCCATGCCCAGCTTCGTGTTTCTATTTGTAATAGGTAAATGAGTGATAAACAGTCCCTGCTTCACAGAGCTGATGAATTAAATACGCGTATCTATGAGGGATCTGAAAGCCTGGGGCCTGTGTTGCACACCCGTAACACCAACACTTGGAAGGCGGAAGCAGGAGGATCAGGAGTCCAAGATCATCCAAGGCTACCTAGAAAGTTCAAGGATAGCATGAGCTATGTAAGACCTTGACTAGGGGGGGAAAGAGAAACAATAAGGAATTTGAAGTAGTGTCTACCCTGAGGACTAAGTATTATCTAGTCTCATTAATTACAATGCTTCTAATTCCAGGAAATTCTAAAAACCAAACAAATAAAATGCATAGTTCAGGAGAAGTTAGAACAAATGTGGGAAGAAGACATCCCTCAGGTTCAGCAACTTTCATCATTCTGTCCTTTGCTCCACTTGGGGGACAGAAAAGGGCCCCGGGCACATCTGTGAAGAAATCTGAACTCAACAGCATATCACCTTGAAGACCTCATGCCAGGAAAGTCAGCAGACAAGATATTAATTTCCTAATTCAGAGGCGTGTGTGTTGTCTTTGTGTTTATTTCCCTGTTGGTTTTTTTTTTCCTTCCCCTTCCAAGACTTTGATGGAATGACTCAAAAGAAAAATGGTCACAATTACTAGAAAGAATCTAAAACGCCACGAGGGCAACAGCCGCAGCATGGCCGTACTGCATGCTTCCTCCCGAGGGCCGAGATAAGGGCGGGGTGTCTACGTAATGGCTCCTCGACCAAGCAGCCTGGGAGTGCCATACTCTTCGGTATGCCCTTTCCAAATCCTCACTGGGAGCCATCTGGAATCACCCCGCGAGGCTTCGGGGCGTTCCTCGTGGGTCTGGGGATGTAACGTGACCACTGCGAGCGCCCGGGGACCCCTGCTCGCTGGAGGAGTGCGGGGTGGGGGTGGAGGGGGGGGGACACACGACACGCTCTGCACCGCACAGCTGCCCACGTCAGGACCACGCGTGCGAGCACCTGCACACGGGGCGGCTGTCCTCGCTGTCGCCTCGGGACGTGCCTGCACCGCCGCGCGCGTCAAACCGCGCCGGGCCTCGCGTCCCCGCGCGGCTTTTCCTCCAAGCACCCGGGACCAGCCCCGACGTCCGGGGATGCCTAGGTTTTTCCCCCTCGTCTCACTGGCTCCCCGCGGCGGCACCCCGTCCCTTCCATCCCTCCCGCCGCCACGCGCCCGGGAGGAAGGCGGAACCGAGCGAGTGAATCACCGTCACGTGGGCGCCGGGTGAGCCGAGGCGGGCTGCGCAGAACACATGCGCGCAGCGGCTGCCCGCGCTTCGCCGGCCTTGGCGCCCCGCAGCCTCAGTGGAAAATTTTCAGGAGGCGAACTGAGGCTGCGCGGCGCGGGCCACGCCCCCCCCCCTTCCCGGCCGGTTCCTCCTTCCCCCCCTGGGGAACAAGCCCCGCCCTCCCCGCCCGCGCGCTCCGGCGCAAGCCCCGCCCTCCCCGGGGAACCGCTAGCGCAGACCCCGCCCCCCCCCCACCCCCGGCTCGGCCTTGACTTCCCCGTGCTCCACGCGCTGGCCCGCGCGGCTGCAAGGCGACCTCGCGTGTGAGCGCCTGGCATCCCGAGGGGCGAGGAGCGGCGCCCCGGCGCCTCCACCGCGGCGTCATCCCTGCCACCCCAGCTCCACGGTCGGGTCCCACACCTCCTGGATGGAGCGGGACGGAGGGAGGAGCGGTTGGGATGGGCGTCTTGCGGGCTCCGCGAGGGAAGCCGATGGTCGCCTAAACAAAGCTTGTCCTGACTTCACCCACCTGGAAAATAAATACTAAGTCATCATTCTCCCCATCCAGACACACGCCTCACAGAGTTCCTCCCTGAGGCAGCAATTTTGAGGAGCTTGACCTCACCCACCCAGGGGTGACAAATGGCTACCCCATCCATGACACCCGTGGGCTGTAGACCGGGTGTGTGGTGTGCGTGGTTCGCCTCAAGAAAGCAAATGAACAGTTTTAGCGACGGCTTGGTCCCGATCGGTTGACACGGGTGAGTGTTGCAGAATGCGGAGGCATCCGGTGAAGTGGCATTAGCTCCAGTTGTCCCCAAAGATACAGGCTTCTACATGAGACAACATTGTGCCAAAGATTTCTGCCAAAACAGAGTTTCTGTGAGTAAAGATCTCAGAACCAAGCCCATAAATCTCTCTCCCCAACCAGAATTGCAAGTATGTTAATTTTAATAAATCCTTATTTCAGTATCTTAGCCTTGGGCAAAGAAAGATCAGGAAACTGAAGGCCTAGAAGATTGTCTCCCCCCCCCCCAAAAAAAAGTCGGTCCACTATATCGATAAACCCCTGTCCTTTCTCTGAACAAGAAGACTGCTCATACGTTAAAAAGGGAAAAAAAGTCACATTTTGGAAAATTGTAATGATCTGAGATTTTGTTTTTCAAAACAATTGAATGTAGCAGACTATTCAACAAAGAGCACATCTGTACAAGTGCACACACTCCTTGTTTTCTCGCTCACTTCTTCATTCTGAGTGTGAGCATTCCATAAACCTGTGGACATGTGTGAGAACAGGTGTGATAGGCTTTCACTTTCCAACCCATTCATTGCTGATCAGCAGGTGTCAGGGAAAAGAACTAGGTTCATAAATCCTTCATCTTCTCTGCTATTCTTTCCTACACCTGGCTAAGTGGACCACGGCAGGGCCACTCGGAAATGCCAGTGATAAGCATTACAGAAAGCACCTAAATCAAGCCATCCCTCATCTTTAGGGAGGAGACAGAAAGGATGCTGATACTGGGTCCCTGGAGAGTTTCCCAGTCTCACTAACATTAAACATTTATACTAAAATATCTGTAAATCTACCTGAATATTTCTTAAAAGGTCTTTTAAGGCTGTCTTTTAAGGGGCACCGGAATTTTATTCTTGTGGAGGAAAGCATGCATTGAACATGCTTACCAATACATGGCTTCGCTGCATAATGCCCTTTTTATACATGATTGAGTTACTTGGTCCTGGTCAATGGAGCATGAAACATCCCAGCAGCGCTGCCAGGGAATGTTATCTCCCTTAATAAAATTGGCTCAGAATTGACACCTCTGTCCTCCCCAGTGGATGTCTGCCCTTTGACCCCCAAAACCATTCTAGTCAGCCTGTAGTTCTATTGGGAGACACCCCCGGGATATTAAAGAGGTCAGAATTGGGGCGGGGATGGGGGGGATGGGACATGAGTTGCAACTAGTTTTAGAGAATACTATCATGGCCAAAAGTTGCCCTCAAAACTGCCCTTTCTGCAAACCTCCTACTATGTGCTGTAGTCTAAGTCACTTTCCATTGCATAGTGCATTTGTTGCACTTGTGCCTGGTTGACGAACCCTCTGTGGCCAGCACAGGGTACAGCCCGACGATTCTCCTTGCCGACATCCATGCTTAGCTGTAGTCTTCTGCGTTGAATCAGGACTTGTCTTTGTGGGTAAACATAATATGACAGAGGAAAGAAAAGTGTCTGAAGAGCAGTGGGTCATAAAGGCAGCTTCTGCCTTGGTCTCTCCTCAGTCGTCTGCACCAGGATAAGCCAGGAGCCACGTCGTCGTGGGGATGTCAGTCCGCTGATAGAGGAGCCTTAGAGAGGAGCCAACTGAAGGATGCTGAAAGGGCTGTTGCAGCCTTCATGGAGACAGCAGGGAACCACAGCCCCACTAGAGACTGCAGCTTTGGAGTCGACCTCAAGCAGAGCACCCCGCTGAACTTTTGAATTCCTGATTGGCAGAGACCTTGAAAACTAATAATTGACAGCTGTTTTCAGCCAGTAAGCAAGGATAATTTGTTACGCAGCGACTGAAATCTAACCCAGTATCCTCCAACCTCAGAAACACGCCCCCATCAGCAAAATCCTCAATTCTGTTACTTTGGACTTAGGAGCCATTTTACAGATGTTAAAGTCCTCTTTTATTGAGCACCTTCTATACATGATCCCAAGAATAGAATGTACAAAATTATGGGGGAGGAAGGTCAAGAGAAGGATTTTCTAACGGACCCAGAGGAGATTAGTACTGAGAAAACATGGAATATGACAATATGAATAAAACTGGAAGCCATTTTAATAAGTGAAATAAGCCAAGACTTACACTGTAGGATCTCATGTGAAATTTATATTAGTTGAGCTTATAGAACTAAGGAATAGAACTACCAGGCGGGATATTGTGGTTAAATTTGAAGATGGCAAGGTCAAGTGTTTACTGTACAAGCACAAGGACAAGGACCTGAGTCTACAGTCACAGAACCCACATTTCTTTTCTTTCTTTTTCTTTTTTTTTTACCCCACAAGACAAGGATTCTCTGTATAGCCCTGGCTGTCCTGGAACCTGATCTGTACACAAGGCTGGCTTCGAACTCAGAGATCCACCTGCCTCTGCCTCTTGAGTGCTGGGATTAAAGGCGTGCACCACCACTGCCCCGGCTTGAACCCACATTTTTAAAAAAGATGATGAGTATGGCAGCATGCACCTATAATCCCAGCCTTAGGAAGCAGGGACAGGAGGATCCCGGTGGCTTGTGGGCCAGTCATTCTAGCCAATCAGCCCCAGATTCCCTAAGGAATCATGTCTTGGAAGATCAAGTGAAAAGTGAAGCCGGGCGGTGGTGGCGCACGCCTTTAATCCCAGCACTCGGGAGGCAGAGGCAGGCGGATCTCTGTGAGTTCGAGGCCAGCCTGGTCTACAAAGCGAGTTCCAGGAAAGGCGCAAAGCTACACAGAGAAACCCTGTCTCGAAAAACAAAAAAAAAGAAAGTGAGAGGGGAAGATACAGCACATTGACTTCTAGCCTTTACAGTGTAAGCATGGGTACACAGACACCACACACACACACACACACACACACACACACACACATACACCACACACACACCACACATCGACACCACACACACACACACACACACACACACACACGGAGAATGAATAGGAAATTTCAGTTAGATAGAGTCAGTTCACAAGGGATATTGTACATCATGGTGACTATACCTAATAACTATATATTTTATTTTGAATATTCAAATGCAGATACTACTACTTAGCTTATTCGAGCCATTTCCTATGTAAACACATTTCAAAATGTCTTTCATAAAATATATAATTTTATTGGACAATTTAAAAATAAAGTAAGAAAATATGGAACTCATGGGAATAAAGGAAAGGGTATGGTTTGGAGGAAGAGGGAGGGGAGGAAAAGTAATTTTATTATCTTTCTATAATGCTAGTGTTTAAGTTTGAACTTTGAGTAACCCTGTCTTGGGACAAGGGAATCAGGCTGTCGTTTAATTAGATGAAACAAAGCCATTAGAAAGCAAGTCTTAGCAATTATTCTCATATCTGTGGCTTGCAGAAGAGTGGGTCTGAGAAAAAGAGAAAACAAGAGTGTCCATCACAACCATTACAACAATCAGTCTGGTGTGTGTGACAGGTAAGGGGGAAAAATCAAATGTATAAATTCAGCAAACATTTTGCTGTTGGCCACCTACGTATCACGTAGGATACTGGAGTGAACGATGCAGAAAGAGATGTGGGAGGGGGAAGATGCAGAGAGTCAAAGATCATTAGCAGATAAACAACAAAAACAAGCAGTATCCAACCCTGGTGGAAACATCTGTATCATCCCCGCCAACTCTCAAGACTTGAAGAACATCGTAGAAGAGGGGGCGGAAAGAATCTAAGAGCCAGAGAATGGAAGGGGCACTGTGCAACACTGTCCTGCGGACATGACATGGTCCTTCATTGCACATCTGCCTGAAACATGTACAAGACTAAGCCAACAAGATCAACCAACATTTCACCAAGCAGCACTAATGGAACTCAGTGGGTTACAAGAAAAGAGAGAGGACATGAAGGAGGGAAGCCTGGGAAAGTGGAAAGGGGTGCTGGGGTGGATATGATCAAGATACATTGTTCTCATGTATGAAATCATCTAAATAAGTAAAAGATATATTTAAAAATAAGGAATGGGCCAGATGTAGTGATGTATGCCTTTATCTCAGCACTTGGGAGGCAGAGGCAGGCAGATGTCTGAGTTCAAGGCCAGCCTGGTCTACAGAGTCAGTTCCAGGACAGCCAAGGCTATGCCGAAATTCTATCTCAAACAAACAAACAACCCAACAACAACAAGAAAAACCATCCCACACCACACACCATGTTTTCATTTCATGTAGAAATACAATAAAAATAAAACAGTGAGTCTCAACCTTGGCTGAAGTGCTCAGGCAAATATTTTTGAGGCTCTGTTCTTTAAGGATATAAAATGGAGAGAGAGTGGTAGAGAGGAGACTGAGATTGCTGAGGGCACAGCCAGAGGTGTAAGTAATGTTAAGTAAGAAACACAATTTTATT